CTGAATCATGGTCAGCTCAAAAGAGCAAAGATTCAAAGAATAGTATAGGTATTGTATCTAAAGCTTAAGTACCAACAATATAATTATCATCCCTTTTAAAGCAAAATTTTAAATAAAATGCTTCTGATAGCACCGTGTAGATGTTCCAGCTTTCACTTCAGCAGTTAACCATCTGTAGCTGTTTAACTCTAGCTCCTACTGGGTTCCAGTTTATGAAAAAAAGTGTATATATATATATATATAAAGTCTCCTGTAAGAGACTATATATATAATATATATATATATATATATATATATATATATATATATATAAAACGTTTCCAACAAACCCGTGAGCTGTGTGTTTTGTGAATCATAGGACAAAGGGATATGTCTGCCCCATATGTGAAAAGAACATCTGGCTTAAAAATACAAAATAAGTTTATCTCTCACAAGGGTTATGCATGTGTGTGTCTATTGGTAGCTAAGACCAAATGTTAGTGCCACTATTATTCTTCTCTGGTTCCTGTAAACATTAGGTTTATTTGTATGGGAGACAAAATAATCTAGCTTATGTCACATTGCTCAATCAGCTTCTCAAAATGAACTTCGTTTGTGATCTCAGCGAGTCATTATGGCATGATTAAAATTCTAGCATGATATGCTATTTGTTGAAAAATGTTGATTTTTTTTTTTTGTGGAACAGAAAAACTACAGTTCAAAAACTGTGATCAGGTAAATCGATACCATGATTAACTGATATTAACAGACACCCTGAAGATTTAAAATGCTTGCTCTCTATTTCAAGAGAGCAGCCGAGAAGAAAATGCCTAGCAGGGGTTAAACCCAAATGCCTGCGCTGCAGCCTATTTCTGTCAACACTTTGTTCAGGAAATAAACATTTATGCTTTCTGAAATGAAAGTGTATTTTTGAAGACTAGCCGTCAGATATTTTTTGCCCTTCACACTTTCAAATGCTTAGCCTTTTTTGTAAGTTGACTGCAAAGTGCATCAGTTTGCCAGGCTAAAAAAAGAGTGCTTGATGAGTGCCCATGGCACCACTGTCAAACTCCGAAGTTTCCAGTAGAAGGCAAGACGGTTGGCACAAAACATGCTTTCTTCAAGCCTATTACCTCAGGGGTACCTGCCTCTTGAGAAGCTTTTCAATCCTTCCAAATGATGATATTCCCAACTGTCATCTGGTTTATTTGGAGCACACTGCATTGCAGATAAACATGCTATTTAACTGCGGGTCAAGGTAGAGAGTCATTCTGCTAGCAAAATGCCTGAGATACATTAAATGGCACTGACTCTGGGACAGAGATGAAGAGAGATCCGAGTTGTCAGTGATATGCACGGAATGGGCTGTAGCTGGGGAAGAAAAAATGTGCCATGGTATCAGTGTATTTTAAAAAGCTGTAATACGGCTGAACATTTAAAACTATAACCTGTCACACACCAAAGATTAAGATCCCGGGATGTACAAAACATGAAGTTCACACGGGACAACTGCAAAGCATATTTTATTTCACTTGGGAAAGTGGTTTCTCTCCAAAGATAGCTAAATATCATAGATGATGAGGACCTCTAACTTGTAGCCCAAGAGCTATAAAATACCGTTAAATGCTTGATAAAAACACAAACAAGTAATTATCATTTGGATATGAGCATGTGTAAGCCAATAGAGCAATTATGTTTTAGGAAAATTTCTTAGACTCAGCTTATTAAAACATACATTTTCATTTAGGCCTTGTTTATTTAGAATTTAATGCAGTGCTCAGGTCTATGGATTAAATATGTTATTTTATCCATGTGTTTTTATGTATGTGCAGTATAGCTAGCCCTCCTAAAGGAGAGGTAAAATAATTTTATGGAATTAAGATAAAATCTCTATTATGTATTTGGCCTCCTTAGCAACCAGGTGAACATGATTATCTCCTAACTAGTCTGCCTAACTGCTGCTCAGGCATTTGGGCAGGAGAGTGCTTTGTACTAGCTTCGAGATTTTGGTGGTGTGGTAGGAAAGGGTTAAAATGAGAGACGGCAATTTCTAGACTAAGAAAAGATAGAAGTTCAGACTTTTATTTTTTAAAGCATGGATTGTTCTTTTTCTTGAAAATTTGCAAAAATTATACTTCCTTTAATCAGCTGAAATATACTGGATATCAAGCAAGCAAACTTGTCAAACCTTTTGTGCTAGATCCATGTTTCTCTGCTCCATAACCAAAAAAAAAAAAGAGCCTTTTTTTTAAACCTTTTTTCCTTATTTCTTTTTATTTCATAGAGAAGCAAAATAAAAAAGTTGTACAGGAAGGATACACACACACACACACACACACACACACACCCATCAACATAGAACAAATTGCAGGATCAACTTTAAAAATGAAATTTTATTGTTTTTTTTTTTTTTTTTTTTTGCTTAATTAAACCCCAAAGAAATGTGTGAAACGTTGTTATGGCTGGAACATTGTTAATTTGTAAATCACAGGGACAAAGGAGGCCCGGTGCAACTTTAAAGTTTCCGTGCACGTAAATGTCGATAGCGTGCCTTCTCCATCATCAGCACTAAATTCACATTGATGCCTCTTTTCTTCTCCGTATTGATCCTTCCATGAGAACGTAGATTTGTATCTGTTAATTAATGCGTCCTGAAACAGCGTTTGTATTAATCAGGCAGATAAGAAAAATTGGATGCCTGCACCCCCCTGACAACCGTAAAAGTGCTGGCCCTGATAAAATCGTGGATGGACCTCAATAAAAAAGTTCCTCCTTCCACTCAATAAACTAATCATCCTGCTTTTAATTATTCGGCAGAAAGATGTGTGGAGATTGGAGAATGTGTAAATCTATTTACTAACAGCAGTGTCTGGGAGGGAGAATAGGGCTGTCACAGGAAGGTGCTGCAGGCTACACGCTCTGTCCATCTGCTGCTGCAGAAAAACTGCATCTTGGGAGCATGAAAAGGAAGGAGAACACTCCAGCAAATTGAAAAGATGCATTCCTTTTTTGCTCATAACTTTCTAGATGATTTTTTGGTCTTTTAATTTACCTAAGAAATTCCTATTTAGTATGTTTTCTTGAGGTAGATGTTTGGATTTACATTTCACCTTTTTTCCTTGGAAGGGGATAGAAAAAAGAGCAGTGTGGTTTTCTGTTTGTTTATTGTGAATATAACATTGCTAAAATTAAAAGCACCTGGAGCCAAGCCTATTCAGTTAAATAATTTGTTTTCTCTGTTGAATCGCTGTTTAAAATGTTATCCTCTATTACATCTCTAAGAGGATATTTATTAATTTAACCCCAAAGGCAATGATAAAAACAGAATAAGAAAAGACTTACACAGCCATTCCAAAAGAAATCCTGTCACATAACGAGTAAGCACCTTAATAAACAATGAAAGAAATGCATTTTTTAAATATGCCCTTAAGAAAAGACTCCCTTAAGAAAAGGTTGACTCATTCCTTCTGATGATTTTATTAAGTGCTTATAATTAATGGTACCAAATGGGAAACCACTAGTTTTCACCAATAGGTCAGGAAATCATTTCCTTTTCTTCCGTGCTGCAGTTTCTAGTATCATATGGGATATGCACAATTTGATATGAATGAAAAGGACAGCAACAGTGACCATAAGCAGCAGCCTAAAAAGGTTGGGCATCAGTGGGTATTTATGATGTGGGTAATAATGTCTAGAAAGGGAGCAAAAATCGATTCCTTAAGTTGCATTATTAAAAATGATCCTCCTTTTCTGTAGAATTACTTGTGTCAGGACCTTAAATGATGGTACCACTCTCCTCAGAAACTGTGGGGTGGGGGGGTTACCCTTAGAAGTCTTCGGTATATACTTAGAAATAAAAGTGAAGTTTTAAGAAGCATTTGCTTTTTAGGACTTGGGAAAAGCATCTGATCATCAGGTATCTTCACTTTAGAATGCAGATCTAGTCTCTCTGACATATAAATATACATCTTCACTCCTAAGTAGCCTCAATTGTACTGCTTCATGTTTCTCTACTGAACTTTTTTTTTTAATATTTTTTTGTGTATGTTTTCTCCAGCTCAGAAGGGACTTTAAATGTGCATGTGTGAATGCATCCCAGATTTGCAGAAAAGAATTGATCAGCTAGATAAGTCAGATAAAAATAACATATTAATAATACAGCACTTAATGAATTGCATGTTAAACTTAATGTTTAGGTAGGTGATATTTTATATTTTCCAAATGCAAAATTTAAGATACAAGTTAATTTGTCTTGCTCAGGGTGAAAGAGCCAGTAGCTAATTGGAGCCAATATTTACATTCAGAATCTGACTCCTTTGCACCAAACCCTGCTACCTTCATTTATATTTAATTTTTTAAATATCTGGATCTTAGTAACAATAGTGAATGGGGCTTTCTGTTTGGTGAGGAGGCCAGGTTGCTAAGTATTCCACTTTCTTTTATGCCAGTTAGCACTAATTTTAAAGGAAATTCATGTTAAATATCAGTGTGGGGAAATATCCAATCAAGAAAGCTCCCCTAGTTGTAACTCATTATCCATTGTGCTTGTAACTATTAATATCATATAGAAATGTTCCATGGTGTGCTGAGCTCTGTGGCCTAAATTGTTTACCTTTGTTTTTAGCTTTTTTTTTTTTTTAACTTTCATTCGGTTTATCAATAGTAGTTTTTAGAGATGAGATAGATGATTTGCTATAAGATGTTCCTGAAGACTTCAACGGGAAATCAAGTATTAAAATTGCATGGTATTCCCTTCTCAAATGAAAGAAAACTACATCTCTATTATATTCCCCTAAGCTGTGTCTATAAAACTTATAGAAAATACCCACAAATTGAAAAAGCTGGTTTGTGACTTTCACTTTGCTGTTTGCAAAGTGATCCAGGGAACATTTTAAGAGCTTCTAATCAAAGCTCAGCATAATTTTGAGCAGTGATGCAGAAGCCGGCTACCATATGAAACTAATGTTGCATTATGAAATTATGGCTTTAAAGTAACTTGATCTGCCCATTTTTCCATGCAGGCTTCTCCACGCTGTCCCTGGCGGACCAGATGAGCCTTCTGCAGAGTGCTTGGATGGAAATTTTGATCCTTGGTGTCGTATACCGATCTCTTTCCTTTGAGGATGAACTTGTCTATGCAGACGATTATATAATGGATGAAGACCAGTCCAAATTAGCAGGCCTTCTTGATCTAAATAATGCTATCCTGCAGCTGGTAAAGAAATACAAGAGCATGAAGCTGGAGAAAGAAGAATTTGTCACCCTCAAAGCTATAGCTCTTGCTAATTCAGGTTGGCATATCGACATGGTCATTGTTCTATTTTATTATATGTCAGTTTTATCCCTCTCCTTAACTTCTTTAGGGATTTGCTAGACCTAGTTTGTAAATTTTGTATGAGTCAGCAAAATTATAATCAGTATCACTTTCTAGCGGAAAGTTAGAAATAGGAAAAATATACTTAAAAGGGATTAGTTTCATTTGACTTGCTTATTGAGTGCTTTGAAACTTTTATCAACTAATGCATCTACTAATTTGAATCACAGCAAAGCAAAAGCTCCTGTAGGAATAGCATAAATGGACACTCCGCGACAAAATTAGCTCCATTGTCTTTTACACATAAGTTAAAACAAGGGAATCGATACACACAAACCATTTTTCCTTCAAAAACGCAAATTATGCAATTGGGAGAATATATTTCGTGTTGCTTTGAGTTTGGGTTATCAAAGATTACAATTTTCTTACATTCCGGAGTTCTTTAGAAGTCAAATTCTGCCTCTGCAGTAAGGGTTAAAAATTACAGGAGTAACTGTCCTGTACATTTGAACTGAAAGGTGCTAAAATAGAGAGCAAACTCTGATAAGTAAAAATCGTTGGTGCTTTGCTGTTTTTCCCTTTGTGCCTCTCTTGATGCTTTATTATGGTCTTAAGTCTCTTTTAGCATTTGCATAAAGTTCAGGATAGATCCCTCCTTAATGACGTGCCGATCATTAGATACCTGTGTGTCAATAACATGCTCTGATGCTATGTACCATTGACAGTCACACCGTGCCCCTCCATCTGCTTTTGTTTTGACCCTATCTTTGAACTTTATCTTGGTTGCCGGCCAGTAGTTTTCCCTTTAATTACAAGAAGGAAACTGTCAATAAAATCTGTTAAATGGGATGCAATGAGTGGCTTGAATGGGCGGACGGCTATTTGTTCAAATTCTGCAGCATTCAAGGTATTGACAGTTTGTTTTCTGGGGCCATATGTGACGATCAATCTCAGGCTGGGCTCAGCCGCGCTGAAAAATGAAAAACCAGATTGCTTTTGCTTACTTGTGGATGACGACTTTGTGATTTGGCGCGGTCCTAGTGAGATGAGACCTTCTGCCCAAATTGCCCCCATGAGAGCCAGGGACGCGTGACTGTTTTTAGAAATAATTTTTAATTGATTTTGTAATTAACAGTTCATCTACAATATTGATGCATGAATCCTTGGACTGATAGGAGGGAAATTGTTTTCAACAATGAAGTTGTACTTTCCTATTTGTCTTCATAATGGAGTTTAGCATTTCAGTTTTAATTGTGAATATAACCCTCTTCCTCACACCATGCACCCCTCTTCTACTCTCCCTTGAAATGATAAATTATGATTCCTTATGACAGATGACATTGTTATTATAAACCCTGAAGAACCCCCTGCCCTCCCTCTCTCCAGAAAATCAAAGTGAGAAATTTTCTGAGGATTTATTAGTTTGTATGGACTTCACTTTATAGCATCTCTCATAATTAGATGCAGTATTTTATAACAGTGGTTTTGGGAAGAATTTTTTCTTGGCAATCTTTAAACAATTCTAATTTAAAACATTTACTTGGTTAATTGTTTTTAAAAATGTACTAAGCCTGTGTTATATCTTTAATGTTTCAGATTGCTTTTTAAAATTATTAACCATGAATGCTGAGCAATGCTAAAACTTAATCAACAAAATCGCTAAAATTGTATGATCTTAGATGTTAGATGTATACTTTATGGCTAAGTATTATACTTTAGAGTACATAGATTAATTAGTAGCAGCATTTCTGTCTCTGTTGCTTAGAAATATAAACATTAATATTTCTGATAGATAAATGTCCTAATCCACATTTTCTGCTTCTGGGAGAGGAAGTGACTACCTCACAGCAGTGATTGATGATTAGAAAGCCGTTAAAGAACTGGTTCCTTTACTTTTCATGTCTAAAGTCAATAGTCAACAAGCTCTCCGCTTTTCTCTTATCATGGTAGCTGAGTAGCATTGCTTCTTTTCAAAAAATGTCTGTCCCAAAATGTTCTTACAGGTGATTCCATTGTTCATTTAGCCCCTCAATACCAAGAAAAATCAATTGAATCAGAGTTCATACTAAAGAATAACTGATTAAGTGCTCTAAGTACCATTTTAATTTCTAAATTGTGCCACTTCTACTGTGTTGTGTAATTATGGCCTTTGCTTCGCCTGTCTAACCTGCAAGCCCCATCATTTTAGTTTGGGGCAAACAACTCAAAGTAATTTTCTCTGATACTATTAATATGTTATTTATTCCATTTCTGACTATTACTTGGAGCACAGCAATAAAGTTGTAGATCCAATATTGAATGCTGATTGAACTTGCTTAGATCCAATGTGGTTTTCTTAAACTGCCCATACACATATCATAATACTCTAGACACATGAAATGGCTTCTGATTTTTTGTGGTTTCTCTGTGTGTGTGTGTGTGTGTGTGTGTGTGTGTGTGTGTGTGTGTGTTTAGGAATTCCAGATTAACATAAGTAACTTTTAGTGCAAAAAAGAAAATCTATTTCAGTGTAATTTATGTAGATATCCTAGCTTTTCCTGCGTGGACGTAGATGATAATAACCATTGTCTCCTTTATCTTAATTTTACCTTATTTTAAACATTTATCTTTATTCAATAATTATAAATGTTGTGCTTATGCTTGGAAAACAGACATTTGGCTTCCTGATAATGGCTGTCATATTTTTTGTAGCTTTGTTTCTGTCATTAGTGAATTCAGGAATACTTGTAACACCAGAACATCACTGGAAACTCTAACTTCATGTATATGATTGAAACAACAATATGTCATGAACTATTATAATTCTGCAGTTTTCACGCTCAAATCTTTGAAAACGCTAAATAATAGTTCCAATTACTTTTGACGATAAACTCACAGGCTCATTTAAGTCATGTATTTTCTTATTTTTGAGTATTAACAAGCTCTTGGGTAATTATTGCATCCCTGATTGATATATCTCTGTGGGATGGAAAACTATGTCACAATATTGTAATTCTTAGGATCCAGTTTTTTTGTGCATATAACAAGAGTTTTGACTAATATAAAATTATTTCCAATTCTAGAATTATATGATTCTGTAATTAATTTCATCTCTGTATTAGAAAATATAGTAAAATATTTCTATAAGCACCTAGGTAAAATTATATGAGATTTATTTCTCTTGATTGGATCTCTTGCTTCTTATGTTAAGAATTTGTTTGAGATTATATACTGTGAGATTAAAAGCAGTTAAAGCTAATGAATCACTTTAGTCTGACCATTCTCTGTTGCTCAAGTCATAAGACCTTCAATCCCTAAAGCAGCCACTCATATCCCAGCCTTTGTTGCCCCTGCCCTATCCCAGCCTGAAGCCAGGTGAGCCCAATCCATTCAAGAATAAACATGTTTCGAGTTTTATTAGTTCTACACATTATTTCCAGAATAATAGCACCTATTGATATTAAGCTACAAGTAATGATTTAGTTATCAATTTAAAACCATAAATAATAACAACCTCATGATGGCGTTCTGTTCTTAAGGACAGATGGTTATATATGCAGAGTTGTATAATTAATTCCAAGGTATAGAAAGTTTATGATTGCTGGAGGATACTGGAATGGGCAGCATATTTAATTAGGATATTTGGACCCTCAATATAGGTTTGGCTTAGTGAGTTTTTTATCATCACTATTAGGGAAGCCTTTTTAGATATTGTTTTTGTAACAATCACCCAATGAAATAGTAATATCATCTGTTTAGGACATATATACACACATGCATACATATACACACGTGTATACACACATATATACATATGTAAACACACATTTACACACATATATACATATGTATACACACATTTATGCATATATACGCATTGTGCCTAAAAAGAGGAATGTTTTCTACTAATTCCAAATTTTACCTCCTTTGGGAGTACGTGGCCTAAATATGTAACTGTTTTCTCATCTGCAAAATAAGGCAGGTGAATTAAATAATGTCTAATATCCCTTAAATCGCCTAAACATTTTAGATTACGTTAAGTAAAGGTGGCCAGTTTGGTTTGATACATGTATATATAAATGCATATGTGTGTGTTGTGTGTGTGTGTTGTGTGTATGTGTATGTAAAGTAAAACTGGGCCTTAGCCAATTTTACAAAATTTCAACAATTTGTTGATTTGGTATTCTGGAGATAGTTTTAGCTGCTAGTCAAAGGAGTATCCTTTTTCAGAATCTTTCTGTAGACATTTTCTTTTTAAAGCTCCTTCTAGGGACTCTCTTATTTGATTCCACAACATACCTGTGCAGTAAACATGTCCAGTATATATTTACAGGTATGTGAAGAAAGCTGATAATCATGCATAGCTATTATGAAGCAGAAGGTGGGACCTTCTGTCCTTTGCTATCAATAAGCTATTTCTATTTCACAAATAATTATATACATGTTTTTAAAAGGATTAATGCAGAAGATTTTACCCATTACAATTTCATATCTGGGAGCCTAAATTAGTATTTTCAATTTGATTGAGAATTTCCTGCCCACTTCCTTTATCTTCCCATCTTCTTGGCATTAGAGAACTATAAAACTACCCAGAAAAGTGACAACAGAATTGGACATGAAATGTTTACCAACAAATTGTAACATTCTATGAGAAATGAATATATGCAAGCTTTGTGTGGCAGGTAGAACTTTGCTCCTAATTTTTACCCAAAACAAACCATAAGTAATAGTATTAGGTAAATAAGAAATCAAAATTACAACCTTCCATCTCCTACTTTACTTTACTTTGATTTTTACTCGTTTGCCTTCATTGGGTTATTTTATTTAAAATCATATATTTTGGAAGTGAGCTTTAAAAAATGTAATACAACCCTTAAATTTTAAACATATTACAGTATTGTAATTTTTAGGTAAAAATAAATAAAAGCTGGCTCTTAAATGTTTCATGTTCAATGGTCGCTCCGTCTTGGCATGGTATAGGAAATATTTGCTGCAAAT